GCTATTTTTTGGTTGCAGCCGTCATTGTTGTTTTGGCGGGTCCGGGCTGGGGATTCGAACCCGCCACCTTAGGTGTATGTGGCTGGTGCCTTAGCCAGTTGAGCTATAGGCGCCGAGCCAAGTACTTGGATTTTAAAAGTAACCCTGCTAGCTATAACATCTTTTAAGAGAAAAGGAAAAAGGGAAAGGTCGACTTGCTTAAAATTTTTTTCCCCTCCAAAAAGCATGTTAACAACTGAGAAACACTCAGTGACATAAACTTGTGTAGCTTGTCTATGACATAAGAATTCACGCTGTCCTAGAACTCCCTGCCTTTTAAATGCCTTCATTGGGGCTTCCTGCCCTTCCCCCGACCTCTATATTTTATTGTTTTAAAACCAAATGATGACATTAGGATGTTACATATTTGTCACCATTTCTATGGCCCCTTTGGAGAAAAGGCACTATATAAATTCAATAAATAAATAAGTAAACACAAATAATAAAAATTCCTGCCACAGATTTTGCAGGGAGAGCGAAAAGTCCTCCTGTTTTGTAATCACTAAGTCACCAATCATAGTAACTGGTGGGAAGTATAAACCATAGAAATATATTTAGAGCTCACTATACTTTAATAACACCTATTTTGGAGGCAAGAAGCATAAGGAACAAAAGGGTTTTTTGTTTTTTTTAAAGAAAAAAGAGTACTTGAATTATAGCTGTTGCAACAGTTAGGAAATAAATCTGCTCTCACTTTTCAGATATAACCTTATAGAGAGAGGTAGAAGGAGGAAATGAGATGAGGGAGGAGTCTGAAAATGAATTTTAGATTTTGTCAGAGACTGATGCTTCCTGAATGGAGTTTAATATAAAGTCAGCCACAGAAAGCTTACAGTTACACACACACTGTCCACATGAAGAGTTTCTTTTCTGTACTGGTGATGGAAGTTGGTTCAGAAAGTATAAACGTGGAATATGGGTAGGTCAGAACAGATATTCAGTGGAATTCTGCACAGCAAATAGAAAATAGTAGAAAATAGGTTTCAGAAAGGACTGAATCACATTTTTTTTTTTTTTGAGATAGAGCCTCAAGTTGTCACCTTGGGTAGAGTGCTGTGGCATCACTGCTCACAGCAACTCCAACTACTGGGCTCAAGCGAGTCTCCTGCCTCTGCCTCCCAAGTAGCTGGGACTACAGGTGCCTGCCACAACGCCTGGCTATTTTTTGATTG